GAGGGAGGTCTCCGTTCCCCCTGCTGGTCGTGTTGCTCACGGATGTTCCTGGCTTCCTGGGGGTTTTGGATTTTGCCTTCCATTTAAGGCGAAAATGGACCGTTTAAGCTCAAGCAAGAGGAGGTTTTCCGGGAGGAACCCGGGCACACAGGAGGCGGCTGGAAATACTACTGGAACAGTGGGAAGTGATGCCCAGACCCGTCCGTGCAGGTTCCTGGGCTCTGCGCTGGTCTGGATTCAAAATGACTTTTGTTTCCAGGTTTCCACGGCCTCGTGTGTGTCTTTGCTCCCCAGGAGCTGTCTCCCGAGGCGTGCGGGTGGCACGTTGTAGGGGTGTCCCGTGCGCGCCCCGAGCCCTGCTGCCGTAGGAGGAGGTGTGGCCAGGCCAGCGAGGCCTTTGTCTGTGTATGACTTTGGGCATCATTACGTGGTCGATCTTCTGTTTTCGCTTTGGCCGTGGCTCGGTTCTGGTCGGGGTGCTGGCAAGTGTTGTCCCCAAAGCTGTTGAGTGACTGTTCTTACGAAGGGCTGGCCGTGTGGACGTGTTCTGCGTTTGCTTGTCCGTTCCCTCCCAGCTGGGGGCTTGAGTGTCCGAGTTGATAAAACAGTTCTTTGGGGCACGGGGTGGAACTGCCTTTAGCTCATTCTAAACCCCGAGGACGTTCCCGTCTGTTGACGGCCATCTGACTCCCCAGACAGATGCGTCCCTTGGGAACGTGATGGCACGTGAGTGTGACCTGCACGTGGGCGCCGTGGGCAGAGAGAAGCGGCCTCGCTTTACCAGTGAGGAGAGGTCAGTCTTGCCTTTGCCTTCCCTCAGGGTTCCCTGCAGGGAGGAAGCGCCGTCCCACGGGGACTGCAGGGGCGTCTTTGGACCGCGTTGCTGGCCTTGCTCGGAGCGCCAAGGCCGCAGTCTCGGGGAACCCCGCTTCCAGTGGGGTGGGGGCGGGTGTAGCCGCGGTGGTGGCCGGCGGGGTCTGCGTTCGGACCGATGGCAGGTGCGGCTCTGGTGCTGAATGAGGCCGCAGGGTAAGGCACCCCGACCGCGTTCTGTGTTGGATGCGGGACAGCGGACTCTCAGGACCGTGTCTTCCCAGGCGGGCCTCGGCCAAGGCTTTCCCGCCGCGCGTCCCTGTTGGCTTTGAGGCGCGGCGGAGGTGCGCGCGTGGTGTCGGGGACGGACACCCGTGCGGAAAGCACCGTGCGGGGCAGACGCTGGCGCTGGGGGCCCGAGCTCAGCTCCCCGGTGCCTCGGCTCGGCTCAGCGCTGCTGCCCGAGTCTGGGAGCGGCCACCCCGTCTTACGAAGCCTGGGTTCCAGCAGAACTTGATAAAACTGGGCGAGGGTGCTCAGAGCCCCCCGACCCCGCCGTGGAGGGGCCGGGAGCCGGGGCGGTGTTTGGTGGCTGGAACGGTCGGTCGGTGGTTGGCCTGTGTGGGAGCGGCTGTCCAAGATCACCCTTGACGCCAGGCCTTGGCCCTGACGGACACCACGGATGGCTGTGTCTGACGTTGTGTGAGAGCCTTGTGCCCCCGCGGAGTCCAGTCGGGGGGGCCGCAGTCTCTCCCTGCATCTGGCTGTGTCTGTGTGGCCCGGGGCACACGACTGCCGAGCCCCGGACGTGCCGCCCGAGGGGCTGAAGGTGGGTTTTTAATTTAACTTAAATTGCTGCAAGTCGTTAATGAGCTCCACTGTGTTAGAAAAGCCATTCACTTTTTTTTCTTTTTTAGGATTTTATTTATTTGACAGAGCACAAGCGGGGGAGCAGAAGGAGAAGCAGGGATCCCCAATGGGCTCCATCCCAGGAGCTTGGGATCATGACCTGAGCCGAAAGCAGATGCTTAACTGAGCCACCCAGGCGCCCCTGGAAAAGGCTGTTCTAACCCAATTTTCTCTATGTTACGGGTTGTTCCAGCAGTTAGTTCACTTGGAGCCTCTACTTAAAACCTAAAACAGGGGCGCCTGGGTGGCTCAGTGGGTTAAAGCCTCTGCCTTCAGCTCGGGTCATGATCCCAGGGTCCTGAGATCAGGCTCCACGTCGGGCTCTCTGCTCAGCGGGGAGCCTGCTTCCTCCTCTCTCTCTGCCTGCCTCTCTGCCTACTTGTGATCTCTGTCAAATAAATAAAATCTTAAAAAAAAAAAAAAAAAAACTCAAAAAACCCAGAACCTAAAAACTAGTGGGTTTGCCTGACCTTTTCATGAGTGCAGAGCCTTCTGGGCTCTCATTGGATGGGAGCAGAGTTAAGACGGGGCCTCCCGAGCTCCTTTGCCTTGCCAGCGGGGGACGGGAGCCTGCGCGGACTTGCTTTCCCACCTTTCCCTTTGCGGCCCTTTGTGGAAGGCTTTGAAGCCAGAACCACGGGGTTCTCAGAGGGGGCGGAGCAGAACTGTAGGGCGGGTCCCTGCAGGTCTGCCCACTGATGGAGGGATCCAGGAGTGGGCACGCGTGTTCATACCACCATCTGCCTGGAGCTGGTAAAGGCTCGAAGGTGTGATAAAAGGCGCCTGGGTGGCTCAGTCGGTTCAGCTTCTTATGCCTTTGGTTCAGGTCATGATCGCAGGGTCCTGGGATCGAGTCCCGCGTTGGGCTCCCTGCTCAGCAGAGTCTGCTTCTCCCTCTGCCTCCTGCTTCCCGTGCTTGTGCGATCGCTCGCGCGTTCTCTCTCATAAATCAGTCTCGGAGAGGAAAGTGTGCTACGATGCTGGGAGGGAAGGTACACTTGGAGCCCCCATGGCACTTAACCCGTCCCTTCCTCACCGGTGAAGAGCCCCTTCAGGCTCCTTTTCACAAAGTCAGCCTCGCAGTGGGCGGGCGGCAAAGATGGGTCCCGGGCTGTGTGTGGCTGCTGCCTGGGTGCTTGCTTTCAACCCCGGCCTGGGCCCTCACCTCCTCACCTCTGCCCACAGCTACCTGCAGTGGCCCAGCTTCCGCGAGTGCTCCTGGAAGTGGGGGGCCCCCTCCTGACGGAGGCTCGCTAGCTCCTTAGCCTGCCTGTCCCCGGCCAGCACACACCCTCCAGCCTGCCCCTGCGATATGGGGGTGGGGCCCTGTCCCATCTCTGGGTGTTGGCCACGCTCGGGGGAGAGAGTGTCCGAGAGAACTGTCAGCTGTTCTTGCAGCAGTCATCACTGTGAAGCACGCCGTGCTGCCTCCATGCCGCCCAGTGACCAGGTGGTTCTGCCTGGCTGGGCGCTCGGCCTGCCAAGTGCAGGGCTGACCACCTCAGCCGCCCGCTGCCCGGGTGCTCCCAGCTGGCCATCTGGAGGGGAAGGAGCAGGGCCGTTCCCATTTAGCAGTGAGGAGGGCTTGCAGGATCCCAAGGCCGGGTGGGTCTCTCAGCCCCGGGGTCCTTGTGGCCACACTGCTCCGGTGGCCCTCAGGGAAAGTTGCGCCCTGGGAGGAGGTCGCAATCCCCCGGCTTGACCCTGTAGTGCGATTTCGGGACAGGACCACTGAGGCCCCTTGGGGTGGGATCGCTCGTCAAGGCGGTGAGCAGGCCCTGGGGGTCATGGGACAGTAGGGAGGGCTGGGGCTGAGCCCCACAGACAGCGGTTTACTTCGCCACATTGCTGCTGGGGCGGGGGGGTCTGTGCAGCTGGACCTACGCTGGGATTTAAAAGAAGTCAACGTCTGGATTTCCGTTGCGAATCTCCTGATTTTTAAGTCTACGAATGACATTTTCTTACACCGCGTAGTCGGAGTCAGAAAGGTCCAGGGAACAATTGATGGGCTCAAGGCTGGGTGCCGGCCAGAGCTGCGCAGGACCTCAGGGGCCCACAGCCTCGGAAGAAGGGTTCGGTGACGGCTGAGCCAGGCCAGTGATGGAGGACCCCGAACCCCGGCGCCTGAGGCATCGTGAGCAGCGCCGCATGCACGGTGAACCTGTCCTAGGACGGACCGCTCCTGGCTACAGACCCATCTGGGAGTCCCAGTCCACGCCAGCAAGTGGCTCGTTGAGCCCGGGACCCGAACACCGCCCTCGGGGTGCATCCGGCCTTGGCCGCGGCCGCAGAGCCAGGCACGCCTCTGACTCCCCACAGGGCCCGGGCAACTCCACACAGGTGTGGGGCTCCTGCAGACCCAAGACAGGCCCAGTCCGGTGAAGACGGCTCCTGCGCGCTGCTGCTCGCCGTCATTGCGTCCCGCCGTCCCCTTCAGGTGCGGAGCCCAGGTGGGTGGCCCCCGTGTTGTCTCCCTGGATTCTCCCGGTGCCCCCACCCTGTTCTGATGAGAGACGGGTCCCTAGGTACTGCGTGACCAATGTGTCACATGCTCTAGGGCTCTGCAGCTCCTGGTTACTGGAGTGGAGGCCCCCCTGCCTGGGTCTCCGCAGCTAAAGGCTGAGGGAGGGAGCATCACAGCAAATAGCTTTTTTGTTTTTGTTTTTTTAAATTTAACTCCTAAGAGGGACACTCAGTTCAGTTTCCCTCCTGCCCTCTAATTCACGCACTTCCCTTCCCCTTCTATAGGAAATCTATTTTCCTTGAAAAGGTGGGTGAGTAACATTCATCTTATTTTACAAAATAAAAAAATTCCCTCGTGGGGGCACCTGGCTGGCTCAGGCCGAGGAGCGGGCTCTCGGCGTTGTGAGCTCAAGCTCCACATCAGCTATAGAGATCAACTAAACTAAAATCATGAAAAGCAAAAGCCCTCCCTTTGTCGTGTCCCAGATTTCCCTCTAGGCTCTCCCCAGCCCCACCCCAGCCCCTGCAGCCCCCGTGTCACCAGAGGGAATCCCGCCCCTGTCCTAGGCATACAGACACACCCCCCACCCTCAGCCGGAGGTGCAGAGACGTTCTCGGAGATGCCGAAGCTTGACCTGACGGGAAGGGGCTGGGAAAGGAGTCGCCACGTGCACGGCAGTTTCTAAGGGGTCAGATCGGTACTGGGGAGTCTGGGGGGGGGTGACCTCCCTCCCCGTGGCTACCTGAGCACCAGCTGAGCTCTCTGTGCGAGCCCCCCGGGGCGGGAGGGACCCCAGCAGGACACACACACGAAGGGCACGCAGTGGACATTTATTTTGTGCGTGTTCACAGGCGATGGTAGCGGAAGAGCTCCTGCCGGCACACGGGACACGTGTGCTTCACGTCCATCAAGCTGTCCACACAGAAGGGGAGGAAGCAGCAGCCCAGGAAGCACCTGCAGCGACAGCAGCAGTGGGGTGTAGGCAGGGGTCCCCCCCGGGGAGGGGGCAGCCCTGCGGTTCTCCCCAGGGGTCCCCGCTGGCCTTGCTCCTGCCCCATCACCCCCAGGGTTGCTGGGGACCCTGCCCGCCCATGCCCCGTGGCTGCCTCCCCCCCGCCCCCCCCGCAAACCCTACATGCCCGATGCCCTGCGGAGGCGGGGGGGCACTCACCCGAAGATGAAGAGGCCGGTACACAACATCCAGGTGAGGACCCCTGGGACCGGGGTGGTCACCGTGATGATGTAGTTCCCGCAGTACTGACAGATGGACCGTATGGGAGTGGCAGTCCCCAGCCTAGGCAAGCTGGTGAACACTGCTGGGGACAGGGGAGGCGGCTCAGACCCTGGCTGTCGCCTCACCCTCTCTAGTGTCCCGCCGGCTGGGCCCTCCTGCGGGTTTTCCGTGCTCCCCCGAGCGCCCAAGGCCCCCTGTATGGGCTCTGGCTTTGTCTCACAGCCCCCTGTCCCGCCACCCACTTGTCACCAGCCTTTGGGACCCAGGGGCCTGCCTCCATCGGGGCACCCAGGGAATCTGGGAGCATTTCTGGGTTTAAATCCAGCCCCTACAAGTCAGCAAGCCCCCCCGGACAGCACGCCGCACCGTCCCCTTTCCGGGGTGTCCGTGACAGCTAGAGTGGCTCGGGAATCCCTGTCCTAGATAGAAAGCTCCAACCCCTCGGCGAAGTGCGGCGGGAAGGCAAAACCGAGAACCTGTTGGCGTTCACGTGTCCTCTTGCATCTGCACAGTGGGGCAAAAAAATGGGTCTGGCTATTTAAACACCACGGCCATTTCTACAGTCTTGGGTGTGTGGGGAAAGGGCTCTGGTGGTGGCTGAGTTAAGGGAACAGTCCCGGTGAGCTTTAGTGTTCTGCCCACGGACTCGGGGTCGGGGCTGGACAGCCGTTTGCAGCGTGTGGCCTCTGGGGCTGGAGGGGAGGGGGAGCGGGGACTTGGAGCTCCAGAATCTCGGCAGACGAGATCCCTGGCGGGGCAGGGAGCTACAAGAAGAACCGTGTGGCTGGTACGCGCGTCCCTAGTGGTCTCTGGCTCTGAGGGGGTCTTCTCCATCCTGTCCGCGGGGAACGCACAGCCCAGCCCCGCAGCGCTCTACCCTTGGAGACCTCTGAAGTTCACACTCGTGAACCTGGGGGGGTGGGGGCTGCCTGCTCCGGTTGGTGGGGGGGCTCTCACCAAGATTGCACTCCCAGAGCCCTTCCTGAGTGCCCACCGTGGACCAGCCCCCGCCACCCCCCGATTTCCCATCGGAGAGGAGGTGCTGGTGGGGCAGAGTCTCGGCAAGTGGTCAGGGTGGTCTGAGTCTGAGCCCAGGAACGTGAGGGGGACGGGGTAAAGGCACTCACCTGGCTGAATCCCCTGGGCGCCTTGCACGTACATCGGGGGAAGAACGTGAGTCCCTGGAGGCGGAGGGGGGGGCGGCCGGGGCGGTGGTGGCGGTCGGGGCGGCGGCGGCGGCTCTTTGAGAGAGAGGAGGAAACCCACCCTCAGATCCCAGGGCTTGCTGCACGCCACGCGCCAAGCGGACAACGTGGCCGGCCCGAGGGCACCGCCCACTTTACAGGAGGGCAAGCTGAGGCCTGGAGGAATGAACACCCGTGGCCGTATGGCACAGATGGAGCAGCCGCGGTTTGAACCCAGACGTTCCTGGCTCCACGTGTGTCCTCAGGTCCTAGGATGTAAGAGCTTCCTGGAGGCACGGCCAAGAAGCCGAGGATACGGACAGCACCGGGCCCATAATCTCTTCAAAAAAAAAAAAAAAAAAAAAAAAAAAAGGCTCAGTTGGTTAAGCGTCTGCCTGCGGGTCAGGTCGTGATCCCAGGGTCCATCGAGCCCCAGGTCGGGCTCCCTGCTCAGCAGAGCGCCTGCTTCCTCTCCCTGCTGCTCTGTCAAATAAAATAGAATATTAAAAAAAAAAAAAATCTTGAGCATTTGTTCTGTGCCCAACTCAGCTTACCCTTCTCACGTACCTCACTCCATTGACTTGCCGTGTGCTATCACTGCAGTTTTGCAGGTGGGGAGGCCAGGCTCAGAGAGGTTAAGTAACTTGCCTGAGGTCCCCCCGCAGGTATGAAAGTTGAGCACACCCATCTCCAGAGCACATGCCTCTGGACGGGACAGCTCCAAGGGGGGCAATGTTTCACCTCCTGCGCCTAGGACCCTACACCTGCCCACACTGCTCCCAGCCCCGTTCCCTCCTGCCCCACAAGGGGCCTTGCATCCCATGTGGCTGCCAACCTGGCCCCCAGCTCCCAGCCTGTGGCCGGTCCCCGAGGCAGGGGCAAGGCTGTCTGGACACAGAATTCTGGGATCCCGAAACCCAGAGTGTGGTCGGGGAGGGGGGAAGACGGGAACCCCATCATCATGACCGTGTGGTCGACGGGTGGGGGGGTCCACGTGTGTCTATGGGGAAGCACACCGACCCGTCACATGGAGACCTGCCTCTCCCAGGGGAGGGGCCTCGCAGCTTGAAGGGGGCAGCCGGGATCCCCCCACAGTGGCCACAGCCGGAGCACAGGAAGCCCCTCCTCACTTCCGCCACACAGACTAGACTCCCGGGGACAGGTACCCCCAGCAGCCCCACCTGCTGGGTTTTGTACCCATTTTATAGATGAGGAAAGCAAAGGCCAGGGAGGAAGTAACCAGTTACCTGGCCTCACAGGGAGTGAGCAGCTGCCAGCCCTGCACCAACTAATCCTGTCTCCCATTTTCCAGATAGAAAATGGATCCAAAGAGATTGAGTGACTTGGCCAAGATCTCATCAGCAGGGCCAGGACCTCTGAACCGGCCACCCCTGCCAATCTGGGCTGTCTGGCAAAGGGGGTGGGCGGGGGACAGCAGGGGCAGGTTGTACCTGATATGTGGGAACTATTTTTCTTCTTCCTTGACTTTTTAACACTTTTAAGAGAGGACATGGGATGATGGAGACCCCACTTTGTCCCACGTTGGGTCACACGGTCCCCAGGTTGGTGAGGGACAGCAGGAGGCCAGGATTCAGCCCCCAGCTGAGCGAGAGGACCCAGAGCTTCCTCTCCTGCTTCCTGTGGGCCCCAAAGCCAGCCTGTCACCCGGAGCCGGGGTGGGGGTGGGGGGACTCTCACCTTGGGGAGCGTTCCATTTTGGTGCTCCAGGCGTCCTGTGTTCTAGCAAAGGTATCCGGGCAGCATCGGGTTCCGGGTTCTGAGCGGCCGAGCGCTTGTCTCGAGTCCCCATGATGCCTGGTTGTCCTCGGACCAAGAGTGTGGGCCCCCCTGGCACCCCCTGCCACGCCTGGCTTGGGCGGAACAGCCATTGTGATGTGCGCCCTCACAGTGGCCGAGGGCGGGGCGGCTCCCAGGGCCGGGGGGTGGGGGGGTGAGCAGCCTTCCGAGGCGGTCCTTCTCCCCTGGCCCACGGCCCTTCTTGGAGGCCCAGCCGAATCCAGCCCCGAGTTCCCAGAGTGCAGGGGGCAGAGGCAGGGTCAGGGGCCACCAATCCAGAGACTTAAACATAGGAATCCAACAAGCGCTAGTGATTCTGCTTTGAGGAGGTCATCCCACTGGGTGCCAACAGCCAGCAGTGTGGACGTTTGCGTCCTGTTACCGAGAAACGTAGGGAGGCCTATGGACACAACTACATGCACACGTGCGCACAGCACACGTGTGGGCACGTTGCACACACAGATGTGGTGTCTCCATGCAAGCCCCACCACCTCCCTCACCTGCGGAGCTGTGTGAGTTTGGGCCAGATGCTAACTCTTCCCCAACCCCCCATCCCCTGGCTTCCTCAGCTGTAAAAGGGGGTGCTAGATGCTGCCGTACAGGACGGTGAGGAGATCAGATGAAACACACCGGGCACTGAGAATGAAGCCAGGCTGGTATTATTACCGCAAAATGATCATTGGCCGGAAGAGCCCAGAAGACACACTCCCAACTGCAGGAGGCAGCCTGTGTGTCCAGAGCTGGTTCGGAGCTTTAACTAGGGGTCACGGCCAGTGAGAACAAGACCAGGATTTGTGCCAACAAAGGCATGAAGGGAGGGCTCTGTGCTCGGGCACTAAACTCTGTCACAAAATGACGGGGACCAAATGTTATGGTGGTTTCGGGGGGAGATGGGTCTTCCCATAGGACCCAGTAACACTCTTCCTAGAAGTCCATCCCAAAGACCAGCAAAAGTATCAAGTGACATTGGCACAGGGCTAGTGGGGACAGCAGAAAAGACTCAAAATAACCCGAATGTCCATGCACAGCTACTCTGAAACTACCCAAAATAAAGGAAGGAGGGGAGGAAGGGAGGGAGGGAGGGAGGGAAGGAAAGAGGAGAGAAGGAGAGGGAAAAGAGAATACATTTCATAAATGACTATGGGGTAGTCTCTCCAGGACACATCGCTAAAAAACCAAGACTTTATATATCACTCTAACTACGTAAGAATAATTACATATATACTGTGCATGTGCACGTAAAGAAATGGGGAGGGATATACATATTTCCAGGATGGTCCTCACCGCCTGTTACACAGGAACTCAATATCTATTGATAAGTAAATACAAACAAAATGCCCAAGACAAAAGAATGAGTTTTAAAAACTAAAGGCTGATGCTGAGGGAGCGGGGGGCGGGGGCGAGCAGGTTCTCTCCACGCCTGGCTTTGCAGGTTTGACTTTGGAACCCCATCATTCCTTTTACTAATTTACAAGGAAGCACGGACAAAAGAAAAAAGCAACAACGAACAACGGACAGCAACGGAAAACAAACAAACGCGGCTGTATATCAAGATTTCTTCCACGGGACACAAAGCACAAGCCATAAAAAGAAAAAAGAAAAACTTGAAAGACGACTTCATCAAAGCACCTGCTCTTCAAAAGACACCGTGGGGGAAGGAAAAAAGCGTAGCCGCAGGCAGGAAGTAGCAGCAGGACAGGTATCCAGTATATAAAAGAACTCCAACTGAGCAATTTTAAAAATTCAATGTAAAAGTGGACAGAAGACCCAAACGGGCACCCAGGTTGCTCAGTCAACTGGTTAAGCGTCTGCCTTCAGCTCAGGTTGTGATCCCAGAGTCCTGGGATCGAGCCCAGCGTCGGGCTCCCTGCTTGGTGGGAAATCTGCTTTTCCCGCTGACCCTCTCCCTGCTCCTGCTCTCTGACTCTCAAATAAATAAATAAAATGTAAAAAAAAAATTTTTTTTAAAAGACCGAAGCAGACACTTCACAAAAGAGAATACAGGCGTGGCATAGTAGACACGAGAAGGCATCTGGCATCACTAGCCACCCGGGAAATGTGAAAACTGTAGGGACCCCTGGTTAAATTTTTAAAAATGGACAATCCTAATTGTTGACAATGGGTAACCTTATATGCTGCTGGCGTGAGTGTGAAATGACGCGTCACTTTGGAAGGCTGCAGTTTCTTACAAAGGTAAACACAGCCCGCCTGTGACCAGCAATTCCGCTCCCAAGATTTCTGCCCAGGAGAGAGAAAGACACATGTCCAGAGAAAGACGCACACGAGAAGATAAACAGTAACTGTCTTCCTCATCGCCAGAATTCAGAAGCCCAGATATGTGGGAGCAGATGGGTGGATATGATACCAGGGAATGCTGCTCAACAGAAGAAAGAATTACAGGGGCGCCTGGGTGGCTCAGTGGGTTAAGCCTCTGCCTTCGGCTTGGATCATGATCCCGGGGTCCTGGGATCAAGCCCTGCATCGGGCTCTCTGCTCGGCGAGGAGCCTGCCTCCCCCACTCTCTCTGCCTACTTGTGATCTCTGTCTGTCAAATATATAAATAAAATCTTTAAAAGAAAAAAAAAAAGAAAGGAATTACAATCTACTTGGCAAGATGCGTATGCGTCAAAAATGACTCTGAGCGGGAGCCTGGGTGGCCCAGTGGGTTAGGCCACTGCTTTCAGCTCAGCTTGCGATCCCGAGTCCTAGGATTGAGTCCCGGGATGGAGTCCTGCATGAGGATCCCAGCTCTGTGGGGAGTCTGCTTCTCCTTCTGACCTTCTCCCCTCTCATGTTCTCTCTCTCTCTCAAATGAGTAAATAAAATCTTAAAAAAAAAAATTTTTTTTAGCAAAACAAAACAAAACAAAACAAAGAAATCAAAACAACAACAATAAAACCTGACCTCACATAGTACATTAGCTGGTGATTCTATTTGTTTGGGGTTCTAACGCAGACCAAGCTAAGCTCCAGGGAGGGAACTCAAAACAGAGGTTGCTTCTGGGCTGGAGAGTGGAAGGTTGACTGCAAAGGGCACAAGAGAACTTGATAAAATGATGCAAAGATGACTGTCGTGACTACATAACTGTACTCATTTATCCAAACTCCTGGAGCTTGCACCCCTGGATTATTAAAAAGGTAAAAAGGCACCCCAAATTCTCATCATTTGCCACCAGTGGGAGCATACACAGTCTGGAAGTCTCTTGCAAACCTAACCCTAAACCTATCCTATGACCCGGATATATCATGCCTAGGCGTTTCCTCAGGAGAAGGGAGACATGTCCCTAAGAAGATAGTCCTAGCAGTTTAAGATAGCCTCAAACCGGGCGCCTGGGTGGCTCGGTCAGTTCAGTGTCCAACTCAGCTCAAGTCATGATCCCACGGTTATGAGATCAAGCCCCGTGTCGGGCCTTAAGATTCTCTCTCTCCTTCTCCCTTTGCCTCTTCCACCTCCCCACCTCTAAAAAAAAAAACTGGAAACCACTCTGGTGCTCATAAACAAGAGAACAGATAAACTGTGGGATATTCACAGGCTGGACGACTACTCACCAAGGAGAAGGCATCCTTCACAGAACCACATAAACGAACTGCAAACGCATCGTGTGAAAGCAGCCTTCCGCAGGCGTGCGTACTGTATGGTCCCATTTCGATGGACGTCCTGGTAAGACACGCGTCACAGAAGCAATCAGAACAGTGCCTGCCAACAAGCGTGTGGACTCAGTAACAGAAAGGGCTTGAGGGAACTCTGGGCTGGTAGAGACATCCCATGTCTTGGCAGGGGTTGGCACTACACAGGTGCACACGCTCGTCAAAGCTCATGGAGTGGTATGCTGAGATCTGTATCCTTCCTGACAAACGTTTTCAAAAGCTGCAGACGGACACTGAATTCTAGTTAATGACCTGTGGGAGCTGACGTGTTGAGGAGCAAAGTGTACGGCCATCTGCAGCTCACTTTTAAAGTCATGGGAAGGTAAGAAGGGTTGATGGATTCTTGGATACCTCTGTGAAAACATGAACCCTGCAAAACGGTGACAGCTGCAGAATCGAGGTGGTGGGTCTGGGGGTGTTCACCATCATTTCCACTTTTCTGCATGCTTGCTTTTTTTTTTTTTTTAACAGTAAAATTGGGAGAGGGCAAAAAGTAATTAAAGGGAAAAAACTCTAAAAGAGGAAAACAAAAACAAATACAACTTGTATGTCAATTTGATGGCAAAACTACAGAGCAGACGGACTTAAATGAGGCAGCACAGCGCTGTAGAATTTATGGGCAAAATTACACTTGATCCACAGGATCACTCTCTGAGATCTCTGCCCACCCCACGAAGGGGCAGCAGCGATCTGCTCTTCTACCGCCAAGGCTGATGGAATCTGGTGGAAGCTTGACCCAGGTTAGGTCAACCCAATCTCCCTGTGCAGGACTCTGGAACTGGGGCGGAAGTAGACCACTGGGTTTCTGCTGTTTGCATGAACTATGGGCATTCAAACCTAGTGGCTGTGGGGAGCTTTCATTCCTAGAAAGAACGGTGCACGTCTCCCTTTTGTGACGGGAATGCAGCTACACGACAACTGGCATTAGGAGGGAGAATGGGGACCGTCGCTACAATCTACCGTATGAAGAAATAGAGAGTAGTAAGCGCTCAGTGAGCATCTGCTTTGTATGTGTATCATACGTGCAGGCAGCAATACAAGTGTTCCCGGGAGGCCACAGCGCCACCTGCTGGCCACAGTTATTCCAGAGGCTGGGTCCTACAGCGCCACCCGCTGGCCACGATTATTTCAGCGGCTAGGTAGCGCCACCTGCTGGCCACGGTTATTCTAGAGGTTGGCTCCCACAGCGCCATCTGCTGGCCACGGTTATTTCAGAGGTTGGGTTGCTCTAGCAGAGAACCGGGAGGGAGAGACTGGGTACTGCGCTCTCAGGCTGCACATCTTCCCCTTCTTCCGAAGTATCAGCTGCTCGCAGGGTGCCAGCTGTGACGTGTGGTAAGCGCAAAGGTGCCATCTTCAAAGGGGCGGGGGGAGTCCGGGTACACAGGCAGGGGTGCATGGCCTAAAGGTGCCCCCCACACCATGAGCACAAGAGATCTGTGTGCTACTACAGCCCTTTCTCAGCTGATGGGAAAAAAGCATCCCGAGGAAGCGCTCCCGTAACTCTCACAAAGATGTCATCACGAGCACCACCTCTCTGGTGGGGACCTGACTCCCGCCCCACCTCCTCAGCTGTCCCTGATTGCTCTCTCTTGCTCTTTTTTTTTTTTTTTTTAAGATTTTATTTATTTATTTGACAGAGATCACAAGTTGGCAGAGACGCAGGCAGAGAGAGAGGAGGAAGCAGGCTCCCCGCTGAGCAGAGAGCCCGATGTGGGGCTCGATCCCAGGACCCTGAGCCGAAGGCAGAGGATTTAACCCACTGAGCCACCCAGGCGCCCCTCTCTCTTGCTCTCTTACCAGTAACTGTGACGCCCACATCCCCGAGTCTTGCAACCTCTGGTCCGGCATTTCTGCCCACGGGCCCAGTCCCCTTCGCTCCCATGATGACAGCTCATTGTCATCTCTTCTGGTCGGTGGCAGGGTGGGGGGCATGTCCTCTGGAGCCTGTGCACACCCCTGTACGTACTGGTGTGTTGCTGCATCCCCCAGCACCCAGCATGCAGAAGGTGCTCGATTAATGTAGTTTGACTGTACGAATGACCGAGTGAAGGAAGGAACAAACGAGCCGTTGCTGCTCTCATCCAGCCCACCTTATTTGGCTTAAAATCCGTTGGATATCTTACCCCAGGAAACAGGGTCTTTGTAAAGGGTTGAGGCCATGCAAGATGGGGGACAGGGCTGGGGACAGTCTCCTTCCTGAGGGATTTTGGGGACGGCGGAACCCTTCACACAGGGCTGAGATCCAGGCTGTGCCTCTGCACCGGGACCCTCTGAGAGCGAGTGAAGGAGGGAGCTGATGGGCTGGGCTCTCAGCAGCCTCCCTGTGGCGATGGCCACCAGGGGGCAGCATCAGGCTGCACAAGTCAGCCTGGCCTCCTCCCTCCCGGCTCTGTGGGGAGCATGTCCCCATCCTGTCCCTTCCCCCTGCTCCCATCACCCTGCTTCAGGGCTTGTCCAGTGCCGTCCAAGGCTGCCCTGGGGCTGAGGACTCCTGTCTTATCCTGAATCCCTCAGGCCAGGTTGGAAGGAGAGAGGGCGTGAGGCCAGCTGAAGGCCACACAGCCAGGCTGCAGTGGAGCTGGTTTAGACCCCGGTCCCTGGCACCCAGACACAGGGCCTCGTCACAAGGGAGCCAGGATGCCTGGCTGGGCCCCCTGGGGCCTCTCTGTAGGCATCAACTCTCTACCAGACTCAGGGCTCCTGGAGGACTGGTTTTTGCTGGTTCATTTTCTACCTCTGCACCCCCAAAATAAGGCCTAGCACAGAGGAAGCATGTAAAGTGTGGGCTCTGTCACTCGCGGCTGTGTGTGGCCCCGGGGACGGCATCGTCACCTCTCCGCACAATGGGTCTGATAATAATCCTCGCTGCCAACAGTGTTAGGAAGATTTCACGAGACAGTTTTACCTTGTTGTCTGATCCCTTCAGCATGCTTCTATTCTGTCCTATTCCATCCTGCCCCTGGGCATTTGCACTTGCTGTTCCTGCTCCAAACGCTCTTCCGGTGAGCTCTGTCTGCAACAGGTTCATGGATTTGGTTACTTGATCGGTACCTGCTGCTCCTACAACGTCAGCTCTGTAAGAGCAGGGACCTCCTTGATTTTGTTCACATCTGTCTCTTCAGTACCTATCACAGTGCCCTGGACACAGCAGATGCTGTCAAGCTTTGCTGCATGAATAATGGATGAAAGATATCTACGTGAAGAATCTAGCTCTGTGCCTGGCACGTAGAAAGCTTGCAACTTGGGCGTTAGCAGTTAGTAACGTTAATAAGCAAGACGATAACAAGCAGAGCCACAGAAGCCAGGGCAGGAGGCAGGCCATCGCAGGAATGGCAATGAGCCTAGAGTGCTGGCAGCTGAGGGTCCTGGGAAGCCCCCTGGTCCTCTCCTGCTGTGTGACCCTGGGCACCTCACTCACCCTCTCTGGGCTGTGCTACCTTCTTGAGCAATAAGGCTCTGCAGCTGGGGGCCTGCTTAAAAAAAAAAAAAGGCAGTGCAACTCCCCCGCCCTGCTTCCTGCTCTTCCTCTACTCCCAGAAGGGCCCAGCTTGGGCAAGGAAGTGATGGGAGGAGAAAGGAATCCAGAGGAATGAGCTGTAACTATCATTCTTGGGCAGGTGTGGGATGGGACTTTCCCCGGAGCCCTCCCTTCCGTCTGCTCTGTCTGCGGGGGTGCCGGGAGCCCTGGGCGGGAACTTGCTGGGTCAAACTGGGGCATCCCCTAACCTCTCGGAGCTGAATTTCCAGCTCTGCCAACCACCCAGTCTGCTTTCCCTTCCACCCAGCTTGGGGTGCGCGGGGGGCTGGAGGAACGTGAGGAGGTGTGCACTGCTGTAGTCGCCCTGCACCAAGCCCCCTGCCTACTGGGACCAGGGAAGGAAAGCAGGGTTTCTCCTGCCCTGGGTCCCCATGGGGGCCCTCTCATTGAACAGCAGGCACCTCGATGTGAGGGTGACAGGCTTACTGCTTTCCTGGGTGGCTGTCGTCCATCCCCTGCCCTAAGAACTCTGGGACAGAGCCCCCAAGCCTGCCTGGAGGAGGACAGGGGGAACTTCTAGACAGAGAAGGCTCTTGGGGTCTGGGGAATGGCCCCAAGAGCTGTAGGGTGGGGTGTGTGGTTATGCGTGTTTCCATCTGCGTGTGAGTGTGGGGAGATGCTGGTATTGCTTGAGACACGGGTCTGGTGGGGGGGCAGGGCTCATCTGCATGGTGTTTGTGTGCAGAGGTTTGCACGTGGAGGTATGTGTATGTGTGTGTGTGTGTATGTATGTTCCTGCATCTGGGGTGGGCTGTGTTAATGTAGGTGGGCTCCTGTTTTTCCTCCTTCAGCCAGCAGGCATGGTCAGCTGACTTGGACCTCGTCCTGAGCAGTTTCCAGCCTCGAGGGCTGCCTGGAGGGGGTCAGCCCAGGTGCAGTAGGGCTGAGGGCAGGACCCCTCCACTGGCCCCCCCATGCAACTCTTTCTCAACTGTACACTCTCCTGCTGCCATTTTATGGAAAGGAAAATCGAGTCATCTGTCAGGCCCCTCGTCCTGACAGACTTCACTGCATCCAGTGACCCTGCTGTGGACCCTATTTCTTCAGTGGGTACTTACTGGGTACCTACTATGTGTCAGGCAAACAAAACTAGGGGAGGCAGATAAGGCACCTGCCCTGGGGAGCTCACACTTTAGGGGGTACCACATTTGGTTCCAGGTGGGGCAGAGAGTCCCCTCTTTTGAGGTGTAATGCCCAGAAAGAGGCAGTCTTGGAAGATATTGGCGAAGAGTTTCCAACTGAGGGAAGAGTGCGTGCAAAGGCCCTGAGGTCCCGGTGGGGTTGCAGTGCTGTGAGCAGAGAGACGTGAGGTTGGGCAGGGAATGCTGAGACCTGATAAGATGGCTTGGGGCTGCTGCACAGAGGGGCAGTGGCTGGAGGCAGACCAGGAACAGGGAAGTGACTGTCTAGAAAGTAGTGGCCCAAAAGAGACAAGGAGCACTAGGCAGGGAGAAGCAAGTGTTCCCAGAGCCCAAGCTCCCATCCCTGCTCCAGCCCAGGGAGACCCCTCTCTTGAGACATTGGGTGGGGTGACATATCCTGGGTAGGGGGAGGGAATTTCATCTTAAACAGCCTGCGGAATGAGAACCTTGGGGTGTCACATGGTGACATTCAGATCTCAGCCTGTCCCAGTTAGTGCTGTTTGGCCTTGGGTAAGCTGCACTGCTGATCTGAGCCTCAGTTCCCCATTCGTAGAATGGGATGACAATTATTCTGGGTTGCAATAAGGCTTTAAGAAGTTCAAGTGACACACATTACGGCGTGTGGTGTGGCTGACACATTGTAGGGAGCAGAACCAGGCGGCGACTGTCATTACTAGGGCGACACTTAGATTCAAGCAAGAAGTGTTTAAAAAAGCAAATAAAAAACAAATAATGCTTACAGTGTATCCAGCTGTGTCCTAAGCATCCATGGGTGCTCTCCCTTCTGCAACAGGACTTTCATCGAGAGGTGCAGTTGTCCCCATTTTACAGATGAGAAATGGAGGTGCCGAGAGAGGGGACCTGCTGAAGAGACATCCAGTCCTTGAGGACGACAGACCTGTAGTATCAACCCCAGGCACGGCGGCCCCACGCCCCGTCTTCTTCCACCTCACAGATCTACCCCTCCAGCTTGCTCGGGCTCCTTACTGGAATTTTCTTATGTCAAGTCCATCTAAAATGCTGCAGCAGACCAGTCTGGCTTAAAGAGAAATAGGGAGTCATGGAAGGGTTTTGAGAAGGGGAGGGACATGGTGACAAAAATTCTCTCCCTGGCCAGACCTTACTTCTGTCCCCCTGAGCCCTCAGCTCTACTAGGCCTGAACTTGAGCTTCTGACCCTGTCCTTGTAGAGTCCAGTTTTGGCAAGAATCCTGTCAAGCTGGTTTAGCCAGAATTCCCTACCCTCAGGATCTGTCCAAATTCCTCATCCCCTGCCACCTCCCAGGGGATGCCTGACTGCCCTGGCCTGTCTTCTGCGAGAATCCTGCTAGGTCAGCTCAGCCAGAATCCCCCCTTCCCTCCCATACTTCCTTCTAGCAATTTCCCGCTCACTGACTGTGCTCTTTGGCCGTAAATCTCCACTTTTCCTTGCCATATTTGGAGCTGAGCTCCCTCTCCCTCCCACGGAGCAAAGCCCCATAGCAGCGGTCCCGGCACCTTCAAGACAGTCCTGAATAAAGTCTTACTGTCTTAACTAGCGTCATAAGAATTTTTTCTTTAGCAATGGTTGGTTTATGCTTTTGAAAGCTCACTCTGGCCGCTACACAGGAAACAAGGATGGGCACTGATACTGGTAGGCGGGGGCACAAGTCATGGGAAGAGGCTGTTCTTCCTGGTGAGATGGAAGAGGCCCCAGTCATGGCGGAAAGGGACCAGGGGTGGGAGGGTAAGGGGCAGGTAGGTAGGGGACTCTCCACTTCATCCCTGCTCTTAGACCTTCCCTTCCCTGGCTGTCAGCACCTTTAAGGCCCACTCTGGCTCCGGCCACTGTACCTCAGTACCTCACACTCCCTCTCCTCCAGTCCTAGCCCCACCACTCTCCTGCCTCAGGACCTTTGCATTTCCTCTAACCTCTCTCAGGAGTGCCCTTTCCTTATCTGCTTAATTACTGATCTTCCAGAAGATCTCAGGTCAACTAGCACTTTCCAGAGAAGCCTTTCCTGGCTTTCCCATCCTGGGTAACTCTCCCTGCTGTGGGCACAGCAGGATCTTATACCACTGTGATTACTGATTTAAGATCTGCCTCCCCTCTATAACGTCTGGGGTGGGGACAGAACCCACATGAGTTTTGTTTAGTCCCAGGCTTGGAACAGAGTCCAGGTGCAGTAAATATTTCTCAGGTGGCTGAAGAGATCATCGGTCCTTATTGGGCAGAAAAGTTAGGCCAGTTCTCATCTGTGGCTGGCTCAAGTCGGGCCATTAGGCTAGTGCCATGGGATGGGGCCACAATGGTGGGCTGATGTCTCAGGTCGCGGGAGGCTCAAGCCATGACAATTGGGAGAGAGAACTCTTCCTGGGACCTGTCTTGTCTGACAGCGCCTAGGGCAGGGCCCTCACTGAACCACGGAGGCTTATCCAGGGCACCACCTGGCACCCTCCTTATCCACCGGCCTGCTGTCTCAACAGGAGGTGACTCCTCCTGGGCGGGTACTGGGTGGGCACTTTTTAAACTCCTGGACGCTCAGCACCCCACAGAGTCTGGCATGGGCGGCACACCCCGTGAATGACTGTAGCCCAGAAATGGACCAAACTTGGGTGTGAAATTCTCAGCGACTGTGGTTAGTTGAGCAGGAACAGGAAGGCTGTTCTTGCTGCTGTAACGAAACACCGCAGACCGGGTGGCCCAAGCAACAAACATGGACATCTCACAGGTCTGGAGCCTGGGAAGTCCGAGATCAGGGTGCCAGCAATTTGCTTGCCGGTGGAAGACCGTCCTCCGGGCTGGTGGACAGCTGTCTTCTTGCTGTGTCCTCAGTGGTCTCTTTGTAGGCAATCAGAGGAGGAAAGGACCGCACCACAGGGAGAGACTGAGAGGCAGGCAGAGTCGGGTGCTCCGGCAGGGCCCAGAGTCCCAGGATAGCTCCGGGATTCCTCCCCCCTTCCACCAACCTGAGCCTCGGTCCAGCACTGGGCTTGCTTTTAGGGGCTCCTCTTGCTGCGACTTGCTGTGACCAGGTGGGGGCAGGGAGGTATCGCTTCTCTGTGCCTCAGTGTCCTCTCCTGTAACACGAGAGTCTTGTCATTCACCTGCACAGACGCGGGACTCAAGGACTCTACAAGAGGGTGCAAATTAAGAAAAAAAAAAAAGAGAGAGAGAGAGAGAGAGAGAGAGAGAACAAACCAACAACTTTCCCTCTTTTCGTTTTCTTTGGTTTTTTTTTTTTTTTTTTTTTTTGCTTTTTTTTCCTCCCCCTCTTTAATTCCCTTCAGTTCTTGGCTTGTCTCCCTTCTACCTCTCTTTTCGTTCCTTCTCGCCGTTCCCGGAGCTCTTTCTCTCCGTCAAGATGGAGGCGCCCGGGGCCTTCCGGATTCGGGAGCGAAGGTCAGCTTCGGGCCGGACCCTTAGCGGGTGGTTAAGGGCGGGACCCGCACAGGCCCTCCACTCTTCAGGGGACTTCTCCGACCTGCCGTGCTGCGCGGGCGGGCATCCCCACCGCTGCCCGGCCCGCCCGGCGTCCCGCGCCCTCCCCGGTCCCGCGCTCAGACCCAAAACTCCCGCCGGCGCAGCCGCGTGCGCGCGCTTCCAGGCCGTCGGGCGGTCCGGCCCGCCGCCCCATTGGCTGGGGACTCGTGGGGGCGGGGCCTCGGGCAGCCCCGCCCCCGAGGACCACGCCCCCTCCCGGCCCCTCAGCTCTCGCAGTCAGAGCCGAGCTGCTGGCGAAGCGGAGCGTGTCGCAGGTAGGGGAGCTTTCCGGGTCCCCCAGAGGGGTGTGGCGGGGTGTCCTCTCCGGGACGGCGGGAGCGCGGACCGGACCTCGGCCGCCTTGTGGCCTTGTGGCCGCCGCCCGCATCCAGCCCCCTCTTGCATGGGGCTCCGCCGGCGTGGGGGTCCGGGCTGGGTCTGTAGGCCCGGAGGAGATGCCCGGGCCGCCGCGGCCTGTCTGGGGAGAGCAGGTTACTCATCCCCGGGAAGGGGGCGGGTGTGGCCGCAGCCGGAGGGATTTGGGGCGGACGTCCGGCAGCGCTTGCGGCGTGCAGGGACAGCCTCCCCTCGGTTTGCCCGTGGGCTGGACCGCGAGTGGGGGCCTCTCGGGGCGGAGCGGGGAGGTGCGCGGACCCCAGCCGGGGCGGCGGGCGTGGGCGGTGGGACCCGGGTTGCGGGGGATGTTGGGGCGGAGGGAGTCGTCCTGGCGCCGCACGATTGGCCGCATCTGGGGGAGGAGGAGCCGCGGGGCGCTGTCCGACTCTTTGCGCCCGGTTGGGGGGCCTCAGGGCGGAGCAGAAAAACTTCACCCGCGCCCACAGGCTCCCTCCCAGCGCGCCCCGCCGGCAGCCCGTTTGCAGGCCGGAAATGCAGCGCTGTTTTTTGATTGTTTAAAAGAAAGTCCCCGGCCCCCGCATCTTCTCTGGGGTTGGAGTGGATGTGTGTATGGGGTGGAGTGGGTGGGTGGGGGGACGGGGAAATCAGCCTGTTCCAGGCAGGGCCTGCGTTCCCCTTGGCGGAGGTGTCTCACGGCAAAAGAGGAGGCCTCCCGCCTCAGTTTCTCCATTTGTATATGAGTGGTATAACTTCTTTGATAACGGGGTGTGAGAGAATAAAAGGAGGAGGCTAACCCAGTCCCGGGAGAAGCATTAGCTGCTGTCGTATATTTTCTTGCTTTTTTTTATATTTGTCTGTCTCCGCCTCCAGTCTGGCCCCGCCAATCCTCTCGTCTCTCTGAAATCAGAGGGAACTTGTAAAAACAATCGGTTCAAATCAACCCCCTGCCTTAAAATCGTCCGCTGATGTCCCTATTGTCTAAGTCCCAAACTTGTCCACAGGGCTTTTTGTTACCTTCCATGGCGACCCTCTCCAGCATCCACCACCTCCTTCCTTCCCCTGGGCCTTTACTCCTGCAGGTCCCTCTGCCAGGAGTGACCCCCTCCCCACCCCCACCCCCCAGAAGTGACCCCTGTAAGACTCAAGGCAGCCTCCCCTCTTCCGCCAGGCCCTCTCCACCCACTTCTGCGCTCCGGCTGGGGGCGGGGGGGGGGGGGCTTGGTGGCCGCAGGTTCTCAGTGCTTGGCTGCCCATCCTCCCGCCCCCACACCCCCAAGTGGCGCCGGAGCCCCTCCAGCGCAAGAACAGGGTCCTGTAGCGTCGCGGAGCTGAGCCAGACCCAGCGGGGCCCTGGGGCGCTTGGTCGCCATTAAGGGTGGGTTCCCCCGGGAGGGGAACGTCTGTCTTTGTCCCGCGGAGTGGCCGAGCAGGGCTTTGGTTTCTGTCTCATCAGCAGCGACAGCAGTGGGAGGGATTATTCTAGATGGCCCCATGCCTGACAGTTCCCCCATTAGCGGCTCAGGTATTGTTGGCTGAGGCCATTGTAGCGGGCACCGTCTGCACCGCGTCCGGGGGCCTGGGATGCTGCATCAGTGTCCCGTTTGACAAATGAGGAAACAGGCGTCGAGTGGGGAGGTCACTTGCCAGGGGTCACAGGGGCAGCGGAGAGCACAGTCGGGCCTGAAACTACGGTCAACACCCCCCACCCCGCGAAGTCCGGGGGTGCGGGGAGAGCTGGAGGCAAGGATGCAATACGGGAATGCGTGACCCGAGGGTGACGGGGTGCAGAGTTGGCTTCTGGTTACGAGCTGACGGGGGCGCAGGGCCCTTGGAAGTGGGAGGCGCGGCGCTGGGGGACCTTCTCCGCCGGGCGGGGCTGGTCTCCGCGACGCCGTCGGGGTGCTCCGGGGCGGGGGTCAGGCGGCCACGCTGGAGGGGCCGCGTCGGGGTCCCCAGCCGCGGGTCCAAGGGTTTCCGGCCTCTTCTCAGCACTCTGGGGCCCCAGGGAGGTGGGGGGGGGAGGGCGGCAGGGCACTTTCCGGCCAGGGGTCTGTCCGCGTCTGTCCGCGGGCGGCACCCTCCCGCCTTGTTTGTGTTTCTGCGGCGGGCCCTACAGGCTCCGGGCGGCCGCTGGCCCGCGGTAGCCCGCCGCCCCCGGCTCCACTCGGCGCTCCTCCCCTGGCCTCCTCCGCCCCTCCCCTGCCTCCCCTCCATCCACTCCCTCCCATCCCGCCGCAGCTCTCTCCCGAACAATAGAGTGGGAGGTGGCAGAGGTCCGCCTCGGGTCCCCTCCCGGGGCCTCTCGCTTCCTGGGACCCCTCTGTCCTGCCTCCACGTAGCGGACTTGCCCCTCCACAGTCAGCCCTCCGTTCTGCCAGGTGGGGGCCCAGCTGGCCTGGAGGTGGGGAGGGAGTCACCGAGTCTCAGCCTCAGTTTACAAAGGAGGAACCTGGGGTGCCCTAGAGTAACTTTGTGAGTCATCCAGAATCTCACCCCGTCCACCCCACCCCCACCCCCGTTTCCCTGCCACCCTCTCACCGGGAGTTGACACCTGCCAACCCACTGGCTGTGAAGGGCGGGTCGTGAAGCCGTCCCACGCCGATGCTGCTCTGTTCCCTGCACCAGCAGCACCTGCCGCACTGGGAGCGCCTTAGGACCACCCCATTCCCGCCTTTCAGAATCAGAGTCTGCATTTTATCACCGTCCCCACACACTCGTGGGGGACCCTAAAGTGTGAGAAGCTCTCTGTGCCTTAGTTTCCCTACCTGTAAAATGGGGATTAAGGCATCTCCCCAGCTGTGCTGCCGTGGGCATGAATCTAGTTCAATTACATGAGTGCCCAGCGGTGAGCCCAACAGCGAAGTCGGTGGGTCGTGGGCAGTGGCCATCAGATGAATCAAAGTACAGCCTCACTCTTGTCCCCTTTCCCCAGCCATGGCTGGTTCTCCAGTGCCTTGCCTCCCTCCTCTGTATGGGCTGGTTCAGAGCCACCCCCACGTGCCAGCAGCGGCCTGGCCCTGCAGCTGGGAAGCGTCCACACGTGATGCCAGCCCTGGCTTCCCCCAGCCAGAAACCCATGTGAGGCTCAAGACACCCCCAGTTTTCGGTCTACGCTTGGAGTGGCCTGGCTTTGCCAAGAACCACACAGAGAAAGAAGCACCCAGTGTGATTAAACCCAGTTCTTGTTCCCCTAGACTCCCCCCAGGCCCCCGTCTTCCTGCCGTCTGGGAGAGGTGTGAAAGCTACCCAGAACGGAGTCTTGGGAAGTAAACTGCAAACTCCGTCTCACTAAAGTGTAAATGACTGAGAAACACTGTCCATGCTCCCCTCCCCGGAGAAAGCACTTGGCTCTTTGGCTTCAGACGGATTCATCCTTGCTGTGGTTGCTGGGTTCTCAGGGTGGGGAGGCGGGAGGTGGGGGCTTACAGGGGTCTGCAGGGTTGTCTGGAGTCCCCAGATAGGTGGGTGGGCTGAGGGGAGGTGTTGGGAAGGCCAGAGCCTGGTGCCTGGGTAGACTCTCAGAACCTAATATGAGGACACGCAGCGCCTGTGGAAAATTCCCAGGATATTTTGGGTTGAGGCCCCCTTCTCCACGCTTTCCGGGGAGAAAGGCCCTGCTGACATACCCTCCCCGAGGGCAGCCAGGGTGGGAGTGACTTCCTGGCTCCCTCACTTCTAGGACCTTGGGTCCCCCTCCCCTGGCTCTGGGCACTGTTTAGAACCTGGGGTGGAGGCTGACTGAGGGAAGGGGAGCGTGCCCCCTCCCCCCTTCACCCCCTCAGACCACCCATGCTCCCCTCCCCCGCTTGCTTTTGCTCCAGAACATTTCCCCAGTTTAGTTCTTAGCTGGGGGGCCCAAGGCAAGCTACTTGACACTTTGTGCCTCAGTTTTCCCATCAGCGAAGTGGGGATGAACGAGTAGAGCTGGACGAGGTGCCTAACTCCAGGACACTGCTCTTGTCCCTGTGGTTGTGGGTCTCCAGTCCCCAAGCGTAAGCTCCTGAGGGCAGGAATTTGCTGCCCTGGTGTCCAATTTTCCTGCGCATAGTGAGTGGTCTGGCAACTGCTGGAAGGGATGTAGCCTTCGTCAGAGTCCTCAGGGGCCCGTGCAAGCCCCCAGTGTGCTTGGGGGACAGACGCAGCCCCACCTGGTCCCCTGGTGTGCACACACAGGCAGTGACAAGCCCGTGCATGTGAGGACACACATATACGTGCGCACAGACACGTACATAAGCACAGGAGCTGTGACGCACCCTGGCCAGGGACATTTAGGCCACTGTGCTGCCCGTCAGAGGCCCCTCCCATGTCTGGGCTTCAGGCATCTTCTTGCAAACTGCTCCCGGCTGGCCATGGGGCGCTGTGGGGAGTTAAGGGGTACTGGGCTGGTGGTGGAGGGGGCTGGTCCTGGAGGGTGGGCCCTGCCTCCGCGGGAGCCCTGGAACCTGGTGGGAGGTGTGTCTGGCCCTCTGTACACCCTGTCCCCATCTGTGTGTGGAATGGGGTCGGGGGGTGGGCAACAGCTGCAGGGTTGGCTCCTGGGTGACTGGCTACCCCCTCCCCCAGCTGTTTTCCTGACAGCTGGACTCTGACCCCAGCCTTCCCCACACAGAGGCCATTCACTCCTCTTTCTCTTTGCCGGCCCTGGGGGTGGGCTGGCCTCTCGCCAGGCCTGCCCCAGCTGCCCCAGCTGCTCTCCAGCTCAGATGGGCTGAGAGAGGCGGGCAGGGCAGTGGTGAAGGACCCGGGGTCTCCCTGCACCCCCCGCCCCAGCCAGTGGTGCCCTCCGGGCCGGTTTCTAACACTGCTGGGCGTGAGCATGGCCGTCACCACCCCTTGCTGGACTGTGCTAACGAGAGAGCATATCAAGTTCATGGTGGGCGCCAGGCCAATGCACCTGGTTCTTATGCTGGTTAGGAAGGGAACGCTGCCCTCCACCAGCCCCCGTGCTGGGCCCTAGGGAGGTGGAGGGACCCTGTGCTGCCCTCAGGTTGCTCGCCCCCACAACCACGGGCTCCCATTGGCATCTCTGAGGTGTATTTGGGGAATCAGGGATGTTCCAGTGGAGAGAAAGGGGGCCCCTAATTTGGGTTTGTTTCATTAATTCAGGGGGAGGTGGGCATGGTAAGGGGCATGCAATGGACAGAGGGATGGATGTGAAGAAAGGAGGAGACACATGACATTGATGATGCCCTCTAATTTGTAAGCTGGCCCTCGTCTCCTGGCTCTCATCTCCCCATCCCTGGTGCCTACCACACTGCCTCCTTGCTGGCCTTCAGCCACACCTGGGCCCTTGCCAACCTCAGGGCCTTTGCGTAGGCTGTTTCCCCTACCTGGAAGAGCCTCCCGGTTTTTCAGATGGTTGACTCTTATTGTTAGGGCCCTGCATGTACCCTCATTAGAAAAGCATCTCCACCCACTTACTTTTTCTGTGTATTTCTTACCAGCCCTTTTGGGAATCTGTGATGATCTTATTTATATTCTTATCTACCTGTTTATTCTCTGCCTCCACATTCAGGCCCTGTGTCTCTAGTGCCATGACCAGAGGGCCTGGCACTAGTCACCTGTGTGTGGAGTGACCCTATGATGACAGTCACAGCAGTGGTTGCTGGCGGTTACTGCTCACTCGTGCTGGGTCGATGCTGAGTGCTTAGCGTGTACTCTGTGATTTTAGCTTCATGGCAAAATTGTGAGGGCAGATGTGCCTGACTGCAGAGGAAGGCAAGGAGACTGTGGATGGTGGGGGTGGGGGGTCCCCTGCCTGCCGCTGCTGTTCCCCCTGCTGTCCCGGGAAGCCTGGGCAGGACGCTCCTTTCTTTGGGCCAGCCCCCTTCCCAGAACCCCAAGCACTGGAACATTCCGGGACTCTATGACCTGTGCTGCTGGGTCACGCTGGAGCCCTGAGCCCCAGCCCAGCAGCCGGGACCTTTATGAGCTGGGGGCTCCCCGGTCCTCCCTGGCCACGGCTGCAGCTGAGAGAAGGGTCAGGAGGTACTATGTCACTTCCTCCAGAAGGCCAGCCAGCCCCCTCTCTTCCTAGCAAGACAGAACTAAGGCCAGACAGGGGAGTGTGGGGGGCTGTGGATAGAATGTGGGGGAAGGGGACAGGGGAGAGGTTGGGCCCTTTTCGGGGAGGAATCAGGCCTGGGTCTCGGGTGGCTTGGGATGCGGGCAGAGGGTACACTCCTGGGTGATGTAGGCCGAAAGCCCAGGGCCCGGGGCCACAGAGTCACCATCAGTGAGGGAAGCAGGGTGGCAGTTGGGGGTTCAGGGTGATCAGATCTTTGAGTTTTTCCCAGAGTAGTTGGAAGCCCCCGTTTGCGAGAGCTGTGTTTAGGGCAGCCCGTTTTCAGTGTGAAAACCCTGCGTGAGCCCCACAAACCTTCGGGACTGCTACCGCCCCAGCTCGCCCTGCGCGCCTGGGCCGGGTGAGTTCAGCGCTCCGCCGCTGCTGCCCTGGCTGTGGGGCCTGGCTCGCTTCACCTTCCCTGCCGTCACCAGCCCCAAACAGGTGCCCGGGGATGCCCACTCAGCTGCCCCGTGTTACAGATGGGGAGATTGGTCCCAGAGAGCAGGAAGGGATTGCTCAAAGCCCGCCGGCTCCCGAGCTTTGCTCTTTCCTGTTGGGCTTAATCCAAGGCCAAGTCAGAGCAGGTACCTTAGTGGTCACATGTTCAGGGCAGTGGCCACGTCCTGCTCTTGGCACAAGTGCCAGAGCCGGGCAGCAGCTAGGGAGTCCGCCGCCCCCAGAGCCCGAAGCCGGGTCTGAGCCCGCCTCTGATGCATGCTGAGGGTGACCATTGGCGTTCCTCGTGGCCAGTGGCCCAGGCAGGGCGCCTGCTCAGCGCCTGGACACGTAAGGGCCTCTGCAGTGGCCTGCCACGTTGGGTCCCTCGGGCTCGCTGTCCTGGATGCAGGCTAGAGACAGCCCCCGGGGGATCCAAAGCTGGGGTCTGTGCCTCTCCGGTTTGTGTCCAGAGTTTCTTGGAGGAGCACTGTGTGCTGTTCTCTCCCCTGCCTTTCCGCCTTCCCCAGGGTGCCTGGCACTTAGCGGGTCAAGTCTGCTGGGGAGCTGGAGTGTGACCTAGGTGGCTGGCATTAAAGCCCGCCTGCCCTCCCTCCCTCCTGCTCCTTCCCTCCCTCCATCCCTTTCATGAGTATTGACTCAGTGCCCCGAGTGTGCCAAGATCTGTGCTGCGTGGAGGGGACGTAGAGGGGACTGATGGCATCCCTGTCACGGGGCAAGTGGGCATTTCCTGGCAGAATGATGCCAGAGGGAGGCCTAGGACTGCAGCAGGAGCTGAGGCACCTGACCCAGCTGGGGCAACCCGGGCATGTTTCCAAGAAGGTGACCTCTATGCTGAGTGAGCCTTGCACCCCAGCCAAGAGCAATGGGTCTCGACTGGCAGATTGTCAGACACAGGGCTGGGGGTGCATCTGGGGGGCCCCTCCTTGCAAGGCATTAGCCCCTGAGAACCCTCTGTCTCTCCTTAGGTTAGCCATGTCATCTGAGCCTCCGCCACCACCACAGCCCCCAACCCACCAGACTTCGGTGGGGCTGCTGGACACCCAGCGGGCCCGTGACCGGTCACCGTCCCCTCTTCGGGGCAACGTGGTCCCCAGCCCACTGCCCACCCGCCGGACAAGGACCTTCTCAGCGTGAGTCTTGGGCTAGTCTGGTGAAGCTTCCTAAGATAGGTCTCCTGCCCAGAGCCAGAATCATTGTGTCTGGTCATCTCTGCCTCAGTGTCCTTATCTGTCAAATGGGGAGATAAATGGGTTCGGGTAAGGACTGATGGTGCAAGACTAGGAAGGTACCCTGTAAACTCTGGGGGGCACTGCCCCAGGCCCCTTGAGCCTGCCCCAAGCTGGGGGTCATAACAAATGGGAAATCAATGGGGTCTTAAATGATTGGGTGTTAACCGCAAACAAGCCTCTTCCTTTGTGAGACCTCGACTTCCTCAGCTGCAAAATGGGGACAGTAGCAGGTTGGCTACAGAGCTGCAAAGGACCTACACGGTGCCTGGTAGATCCAGATCTCGGGCCCAAGGAGTAGAGGCTGCTGTGATTAATAATTAGTCCTCGGAGGGATGCTCAGAGAGCTTTTAGTCTAACCACCTTTCCAGATGGAGAAACTGAGGCCCGAGAAAATTTGCCAGGGTCATCAGAGAGTGTCTCTTACTGGAGTCTGTGTGAATGGTTCCCATAGTTGTGTAGTGCACAACTGCACAGCTGGACATTATGCCCCTGGCTACTGCCTGGGGCACAGCTTTTGAGGGGGAGGTTCTGGGATGAGCTGGGTGTGTCCCGGGAGAGTGGGAGGCTGTTTTGGGGGGCTGGTGGGGGCTTCCTCACACTTTCCTCATCTCTGTCAGGACGGTGCGGGCTTCTCAAGGTCCTGTATACAAAGGAGTCTGCAAATGTTTCTGTCGATCCAAGGGCCACGGCTTCATCACCCCGGCCGATGGCGGCCCCGACATCTTCTTGCACATTTCTGAGTGAGTCAGGGCTGGTTTGTGTGGTTTGGGGCTGGGGCAGGGGCTGCCTAGGCCCCAAGGAGGCAGGGGGAGGGTGTGACTTTGGTGGGCGCTGTGTGTGAGGGTGTGAGACTCTGCCTGTGACCTGTGTGTGACTGTGCCTGGGGGTGGGGTGGTGAGACTGTACTTGGCAGTGGTGTGTGTGGGAGGCTGCAGGCGACAGTCTCTGTGTGTGTGTGTGTGTGTGTGTGTGCGCACGAGAGCTAGAGAGCGCATGTGTACACACGTAAGTATGTTGAGAACCCCTGGGAGGGGTCTGAGTGCCCGTGTGTATCTGGTGGATGGGGACGGGGGCACCCCTGGGAGCTGCAGGAGTCGCATCGGACCTAGGGCCTGGCTTCCTGCTTACCTAGGGGAAACCACTTGGTGAGGCTAGGGGCTGCATGACCCCTGTGCTCCAGGAAGGAAGGCTGGAGCTGGACCCTCTGCCCTGCCACTTGCTCACTGACGTCCTTCCTTCCTGTGTGGAAACCCTCGGGAGGCCCAGGGCGCGGCCCACACATTCGAGATCTCAGTGCTGGAAGGCAGCCAGCAGCCTGCGCTTTTCTCCCGCCTTCAGATATGGGGGGTCCCTCCTCACGCACCCCTTACCCCTGCTCCATTCTTTGGCCTCTGCTTCCCCCGATCTTTCAGTTCAGGCTGTGGCAGGCTGCGTCCTACCCCACACAGCAGACCAGGCCATAGAGGAAAACCCCGTTTCTGCAGGCAGGCAGGGCACTGTCCCAAGTGTCTGTTGGCATGGGCGAGTGATCCCTTCCGGATGCTTCTCCCCGACGTTCTTGCACGTGGGGCCTTCGCTGCCCCCTCTACCGTGCACACACGAGAAAGATGCGGAGTCCGTGCGTCTGACGTGTGTCTGCACACGTAGACTGGCGTGGACGTGTATTTTCATCTTGCCCCTGTCCAGAAGGGATCGGTAATGGTTTACAAGGATAGTCGCAGGGCACCATGAAAAATAAGTTAGTAAGGAGATTTGCTGGGAGCAAATCAGAGAGGTGGAGACACGGGATGTCTGCTTCCACGGCCGGAAGTGGGCTGCAGATGTGTAGTCCTGGGCTTCCGGGTGGCCGGATCCGAGAGGGAGGCACCATTTGCTAGGGGGGGTTCTTCCATCAAGACAAACCAGTTCCAAGAGCTGAGGGGGGTGTTCCTCTTGGAGGGGTCCTCAAGGGGGCGTCAAGATGGGCACCTCACTGGGACGGGTGAGATGGTGGCTTGTGCCCCCCTCAAACGTGAGAGAATCTTTCTGGGGCGGTCACAGGGAGAGGACGCTTTCTGGAACTAGCTTTAAGCACAGAAAGGACTTTCCTGAAGCTTGCTGAGTGCCTGGGGAGTCGGAGGGCAGAGGTGCACGCAGCTGGGTCTGGGGGGGCTCCTGGGACCACGGTGGGTGTGCCGCAGCAGCTTAGGAAAGTTGTCGCACCAGCGCTCGACGGTGACTTGTCTTCCTCTCTTCGGCTCGGACCAGCTTTCCCTGCCCTTCTGTCCCCAGGCCCATGGTGCCTCTATTTAACTGAGAGTGTGGGGCCCTGGACGGGCTGAGCCTGGTCTCGGCCTCTGCGTCAGGGGAGATGAAGGGGGCCACCGAGATGGGGTGGCCCTCTGACCAGCAGGGGCTGCGGTCCTTTCTGAGTGCGGGGCACTGAGTGCTGTCTCCTCACCCCTGCAGTGTGGAAGGGGAGTACGTCCCCGTGGAAGGCGACGAGGTCACCTATAAGATGTGCTCCATTCCCCCCAAGAATGAGAAGCTGCAGGCCGTGGAGGTGGTCATCACCCATCTGGCTCCAGGCACCAAGCACGAGACCTGGTCCGGCCACGTCGTCAGCTCCTAGGAGAGGCCGGAAGCACCCCTTTCTCCTGGGCTTGCGGGAGACTTTGGGGGGAGGAGGAGGCAGGACCAAACTGGAGATGCTGGTCTGCCGCTTAAGGTGGGGCTTCAAAGGGAGGAGCCCGTCGGTCCCTTTCAAGTATCTCCTGGAGGAGGGGGCGTGGGGGGCAGGCATGGGGGTGCTCTCGGCCACCAGCACAGCCTCTGACCATTGCAACAGTCTCTCACCATCTGAAAAGCATTAAAAGCATGGAAAAAGGGGTGCCCGCTGGTGGCTGAGTGGAGGGTCCAACCCCAGCCCGGGGGTGGGTCAGGCTTCCCCAGCCCACAGAGTCCTTTGTGCCCCTGGACTGGAGACTCAGTCCCCGGGTCCAGTCCGCACCAGGGCTGACAGGGGTCCTGCACGTCTCCTCGGATGCACTCTTACCCATGTGGCCACCTTCCTCGTGTCCATGGCCCCGGGCCCAGGCCCTTCTCTTGCTCCTTGTGGTTGGTTCTGGGCGGGGGAGAATCTGGCTCAACAGTGCGAGCAGGGGAGGGCTCTGGTGCCTTGCAAGTGGGAAGTGTCACTACTGGGCATCTGGGGAAAAGTGTTTCTCCGGGAGCCCTGAGCCTTCCCCCCTTGGCTCTGCCGAGCTCCACTGCATCCTCTCCTAGGAGCCTGGTGTCCTTCCGCCCTCAAGGTGAATGATCATTTCGAAGGCATTTCACGTCCCTGGTCCTTCAGCTGGTGGGTGGGCATGGGAGCAGGGAGGGTCTTTGTCTAAAATCAGACCTTTGTCCAGATCCATCCAGAAGAGAGTCAGTGGCTCGCTTCTGGGCCGGCCTGGTCAAGTCAAAAGTTAGAGGAGAAATGCACCTTTGGTGTGGGGTTTTCTTGTAAACTGGTGTTAAGACATGCTTGGGATTTTCTTCTTTCCTTTTTTAATACCGAAGGCTCTCAGTCAGAGCCAGCCCTGTGCGCGCTCCGCTGCCGACATTTCGAACCTTTGTAGATATTTGCTGTCAACATATCCTTGGGAGTTTCTTTGCGGTGGTTTGGTTTGGCTTGGCTCTCGTTGTGATTTAAAAATAGAAATAGCTGGGTAATAATGTTTTGAAATATGGGGCTTATGTGTAGTCAGGAAACCATGTGTCAGTGCAGGGAAGTGAACCCTTGAAAGCCCGGGGGGCAGACGGGGGTGTGCGCACAAGAGAGGCTGGCCGGGGGTGCAGACCCGGGAGCATGCCGGGAGCAGGAAGGCCCTTGTCGGGTGTCTGTCTGTGGTCCTGGTTGTCTTTCCGTCTGGGAAGAGCTTCCTTTGAAAGGGGTTGGAAGGTAGAAATATTTTGCTGACGACTGGTGAGTTTTTAAAATACACAGATAAGTGTGTTGACTGTGTGCGTGTGTGTGCGCGCGTGTGTGCTGGCAGACGGTGCAGTGAAACAGCGCAGTGAAGCGAGCAGTTGGTGTGCTTTTTCCTGGCCCATGGGCCCCCCCCCCCTGCCACCGAAGGGCCCCTGCGCCCCCTGCCTCCTGCTGGGTCCGCGGAGGCCTTTGCTGGCTGCGGGCCGTGCTTCCGGAGCTCCTTTTGGGAGGACGTCTGATGCTGGTGACAGAGCTGGGAACAGCATCCGGGATTCCTTCCACATCTTTCCTCCCACCAGCCGCTTCTCTCTCAATAAAGTGTGTTTTGTGCAAGGCTCTGCGTTGTTTGTGGAGGTGGAGGCCGCTGCCTCTCCTGTGAGCTGGCAGGTAATGGGCCTGTCCCTGGAGTGGGGCGGACACAGTCATGCTGTTTCATTCATTGTGCTTCACAGGCTGGTTTTTTGGGGATGGTAAGAGAATGGGACCGTCCCTTTCCCCTTAATCATCCTTCTCCAGTGTCGGGCAGGTTAGCAGTGGAATCAGGCTTCGTGACAACAAAATGCCACTTGGCTCCGCGGAAGCACTTGAACTTTTACTGTGTTGAGTCTGCGTGTTGAGAGCAGGGGCAGGCCGGCCGAGGGGAGGTTGGTGGTGGGAGGTGTGAAGGCCGAGGGCCTGGGTGTCCAGGCGCACAGTGGGGAGGTGCAGGGTGTAGGGGGACGGGGCTGCAGGCGGGGCTGCTCTGGGTGGGACTTACGTGTCAGCCTGGGAAGGCCTTGCCCAGCCAGTGTCTCCTGAGGGAGGGGAGGTCGTTTTTGACGGTGCAGCGTATTTTTACTGCAGTACTGGTTTTCAAAGTGTGTTTGAACAGTTACAACCAGGCCAAGGGACCTGCTGAGGGAGAAGCCAAAGCGGGCGTTTATTCCAAACAACGAGCTCTGTCAGAGGGCCGCACGCGGCCAGTGTCATCGGGGGGAGAACCTGCAGGCGGAGCAGGAATCCTGCTCCGAGAGAAGAGCGGGGGGCCGTGGGACGGAGCCCAAGCGGCCTGATGAGGCCAAGGTCAAGGAGCGGTGGTGGGGGAAGAGGAAACAGCCCTTGGAGAGGAAGTGATTCAAGGCCACCTCCACCCTGACAAATCTGCCAAGTCTTCCCGACGGGGCGCTCCCCATCCACTGGCTGGAGACCTTGCCAAGTGTCTCGCAGATCCTGAGCTCCCCCCCCCTCAACTGCCTCCCCCCCAGGATGGAGTGCAGGCACCTCCGTGAAATACTGGAGGGCCTTCCTGGGGGCTTCTCCCTCAGGAGTGCCCGGCTGTGTCCTCCCTGGGGCCGCTCACTCCAGGGCCAACCTCGGCTGCCCTCCTGCTCAGCATTTAGCTACTGTGTTGAAGATTCTTGTGGTGTCTAAGCTGCCAGCTCTGGAAAGCTGAGGGGGTGACTTACCCACACCTGCACAGCGGGGCTGGTAGTGCCTGCCTTACAGGCTTCCCGGGGTTCGTGGAGGTAGTAACAGCCTGGCTGGAGGTAGCTGGTGTGTGCTGTAGGGGCCATACCCCGCCCGACGGAGGAGCAGACAGGCTGAGATGAAGCCGTCCCGAGTCATGCCGCCGGTCAGCAGCAGAGCCAGCGCAGGGGAGGCAGGCAGAGGAGATGGCTGGTGGCACAGAGGCAGGCCCCAGGGACGGGGAAAGGGGCCCAGGGGTCTGCCCCAGAGTGTCCGCAGGCAGCCACAGTGGGACACTCGGGAGGGGTGGGCCCAGCCTGACACCTTGGGGCACCTGCTCAGGGCAGCCCAGGCAGGGGTGTCTCCAGTTATAAAGGTTAGGGCGAGTTTCAGTAAGACCCCGTTGTCTTGCGCTGCTGTTAAAAACGTAAGGCAACTTGCGGATCCTTACCCCGTGGGCAGGAAGGCGAGCCCAGAAGCACCAAACTCTGGCACTGCGGAAACCCTGGGAACACCAGTGTCAGAAGCAGTGGCCTTCAGATCTGCAAGGGCTGGGTTTTCCTGCCAGAATCTGAGCCGACAGCACAGCTGATCGTCCACTTTACCGTTCATGTAACCGTCAAAGAAGGAAAAAGGAAAAAGGCCTCCGAATGAGAAACAGGAAACAATAAAATCAACTTTAATTTGCCGCTTTGCATTGTCAAAGGTCGCTACAGTATCGTTTACAAAACCCAGCAAGGAAAGGTATGCCTGCGTGGCTGAGTCCTGGGAACCACTGAACAACGTCGGCCCTGCGTGTGGGCGCGCAGACGGCCCCCAACTGGACCCCCAGCCAGGACAAGCCTGGTGGGGCCTGGGAGGCTTGTGGAGATGAAAGCACCTGGTGGGGTGGGGGTGGGGCAGCGGGGGTGCAGACCCCTGTTCAGATCGGCCAGGCCCGAGCAGAGGCCGCGCTGTGGACTGGAGCGGACTGTGGGTCTGCGGGTCCTGACAAGTCCAGATACTGAAAAGTGACCTGTGAACCGTTTTGTTGGAAAGCGCTCTTCCATGGGCTGCCTTCCAGCAGCACGAGGACCTCGCTGAACTCAAAGCACGGAGTGAGGGTCACAGGCCCAACCGTCGGACGGCTCCCACCCCGTCGGTCCAGGTCTGGGTGAGGCTGGGGCAGGCAGGCTGGTCCACATGAAGATCTGCGTGCGGCCCTGCAGCTCCTCTTCTGTTAACGATCCGGCCTCTCATGTGATCCCTGAGAAAGCAGAGGGGAGGGAGGCTCTAGCATCTGGGGGCAGGGCTGCTGCGGCCCACGTGCTCCCATCCCGAGGGGCGGAGCCCCAGCAGTCTGTCCTAGGTGTAGTGAATTCAGAGCTCGCCCCCACAACTGCAGGCCAGCTGAGAGGCAACCTTGTTGGGGTCAGTGGTCACGTGGTGGCCACCTGTCTGTGGGCCACGCTGCGGTCTGCATCCCATGTGCTGCTGAACTCAGTCCTGCCTGGTGGCCACAGGGCCTTTGCTTTCAGAGTCCTCCTGGGCTGACAGCGGGCAAGAGTTTCCCCTCAGGAGGTGTTGCCAGACTTCTGTTCCGGGGAGGGATGGCTGTAAACATCTTGTCCTTTCTCATCACCAGATGCCCCCATGCGTACTGACACAGGGGGTCCAAACATTGCCAGTTACATTGTTCACAAGACCCACGAGGAGGGAGGGTCTGGGCACATTCATTCTGTATCATTCTAGAATGATGGGGAAGGTTCCCCAAAACCGTGTGTACCGTGATTGCACATGTGGAGGGTCTGAGACTCGGGGGCGGGGATAAAATCGGGTTGGAGGCCTTCCTTCCGGCCGTTCTTGACAAGTCTGCTGCTCCTGGTACTGGGGGTGGAGGCCACGTCGTCAAGGCCCCAGGACGTGTGGGGAACCTGGCACAGGCTGGGGTTCGCGGGCATGTGAGGGAGGGAGGGATCCTGAGTGTGGCCACGGTGACCCTTCCAGCCTGTCAGCGGGATGCCCTGCCCTCCCTCAGGGAAGGGGCTGTTAGGGGAACAGCTCTTCACAGATCCTGCGGGTGTCCTCGGGGGTCGTCACCGTGTGGCCCACGGTCCTCGGGTCGGTGAAGATCTCGTGGTCATTCCCGCCCTGTGAAGACATGGGGGAGATATGGGCGCCTCGCTTCTCCTGGGCGCGGGTGGCATGAAACTGAGGAACTCGCCCTTTTACCAGCAGGCAGGCCGGGTCGGTTACCTGGGCCTCCGGGAGAAGAGCAACCCGAGCCCAGGCATTACCGAGAAGGGCTTTCTCACTTTCCCTTGAACTGCAATTTAGCTTGGAACGTGTAATTATGCCTCTGAAAGCAATCACGATGCTCTTGTGAAGATCTGAGGCTTCTTTTTCTATAAAGCAAGCGCGGCAGGTGACAGCAGTCCCTGCCACTGTTTGAACCGTGCTCCAGGCTGTTGTCACAGGCAGCGCAGCAGGGCTGACAGCCCACCGTGGCGTCTGGCTGTGACACGGACACACGGGCCTCCAAGCCCAGAGCAGCCACTGGTGACTACCAAGTACTTGGTGGCACGTGGCCAGGGCAACAGAGGAACGGAGTTTATTTGATTCTAATTTGTTTACATTTAAATAGTTCCTGTGTTTGGCTTGCGAGTGAGCCAGGAGGCCCGGGTGTAGACCCTGCCTGGACCGTGGCCGACGGGTGAGCCAGCTGCTGCAAGGGGGGGTAACGCCGCCCCCCGGCCGCGGTCGGCACCTGCCCCTCAGCTCGTGCTTCCCCTGGGCCACTTCCAAGAGTGGAGCGCAAGACTGCTTCTGCCAGACCTTGTATCCGGGGGGCCCTGGCCCGCCACGGGGTGGGTCCTCCAGTGTGTACGGCATCCCCATCCCGCCCCCGGTCTGGGGTGAATAAAGCGGGCTTGCTGCTGTTCCCACACGCTGAGCTCCAGGAAAGCCCCTGCTTTGCTTCTCATGCAATTTCCGAGAGTCTCCTCAGTTAGCCTGGACGGTCTAACTCAAAACATCAATTAGTTTATAATGCGATGAAAATAACTGCACAGTAAAAATGGATTTTTCTCCTAAAGATTCTATAAGAAACATCTGACATGCCTTTAAAGGACTCACGGACACGGTAATTCCCACTGCTCTCACTTTTGTGAGAGTTACCTCACCCCGAAGTTTAGGAGGGGCTGCTGCTGGGGCCCAAAATGCAACAGGGGGAGGAGTCAGGTCGGGGGCCACGAACTTGGAGCCAAGTCCGGGAAAGTCCCTTCCCAGCGCTGACTGGGGGAGCTGCTGGGGTTCTGCCCTTGCCTCACAGATTTCTGTGCCGTCAAGTGGCTCTGGATCAGCTCTAGGCGTCACGCCCACCAGGGGCCACCTAAGCAAGTAAATGTGAAACCAGTTCATGTAATGCTTAGAATTAAAGTCGGCTTCCTCCTACGAATAGCACGGGAGGTAAAAAACCGCCACAGAGAACTTAACGTCGTAGAAACAGATTTGTGAACTATCCAGAAAAACCAACCATCTCTCGGGATGCATTCAGTCCCTGTCACTCATTCACTCGGGAGGGAGGAGTCTGGATTGACACATGAGCCCAACCAGCCCAGGGAGCACCTACTACCCACCAGGCAAACCGAACCTTCAGAGCGGAGGCAGGGAGAGGACAGGAGATGGAGGGGAGAAACTCCGTAGGGCAGAGTACGGAGGGGAAGAGAACCTAGAGTGACAAGGGAGGCACCAGTGAGCAGAGGAAGGGAGGGGACAAGCCACATCCCGGAAGTCAGCTCAGCGGCCCACCAGGCCAGGCAGGTAAGGACTTGGGATTTTATGTCAAGCCACCCGTAAAGCTGCAACCAGGGCACACGATCAGCTTCACCTTCTG